AGAAGCGACGAATGTCTCAACAACCGCATGCAGTGTTTTTTTATATATCATTTTAGTTTGTGAGTGCTTTGATTACGATATTTTTCGTACATTTTGCGTTACCTTGCATTATGAACCTTGAGAAAGCTTGAATATAACTGTGAACTGAACATGCATTTGTTTTCACTATGCATTAGTAAAATGTTTATGTATAAACATTATAATCACGTAATTCGCACATCAGATCACAAACTAAATGGCGATTTCTTAATCTTACTTCTACAGGAGAGAAGACAGAATCCTGGCAAGCACTCACGGGTGTAGCTGTCATTTTAGAGAGGGCAAGAAGTTGAATGGCCCAGAAATTTTTGAGCGGAACAAAGGCAAACTATTCGCTGAGCAAAGGGGACCTCCTCCAAAGAAAAAGAAGAGTGTGCCCAAGGAGAAGACTTTAAGTGAGTTGGTAGAACAGGCTCAAAGAAATGAACCACCATCTGTTGAAAAGGAGAATGAACCACCATCTGTTGAAAAGGAGAATGAACAAAGACCAAAAACAACACAGGAGGTTATCCTTGAGGCAGAACTGGACCTAACAAAAAGAGAGTTAAAGAATCTAGAGGATAGATTACACTACAAGAACAGGTGTTACACTGTGACAGAGCTTCCAGGAGATGTTATTAGAATGGAAACTGGGCTTCCAACAAAAGAAGTCTTTGACNAAGATAACTCTTTAAAAAATGAATTCTTTCGTTGGTTGATGCACCCAATTACTAATTAGGATCCTTATTTCTACTTGCAGGATTCACGGACCACTCGAACCCAGGATCCAGGGGAGAGAGGCAAAACCGTCAGCTACAAAATAAGCCTGTCTCAATATGTTTTGTTTTGAATAACACGGTATTGTTCCTCGCTGTTGTGAAGCAGTCTGATCGAGTTCATCATATCAAAGACTGGCGACCAGAAAATCAAACCGAGTATGTTTTGCTGTAAGTTGTCACTTTCAAGACGACGGAAGCTAACACACAAACGATTGACAGCCATGTTAATCATCTTGCTCGTAGTTCTTGTTTGTCTCCACCTGGTTATTATTCCATCTGCGAGTGGCGGGTATAACGACGAGTGCTACTTAACTGATCAAAAACGTCAAAATTTGAGGATTATGGTGCAGAATATATCGAGGGTGTTTGACAAGTTTGGTGTTCAGTATTGGCTCGACTATGGTGAGTTCTATTATTCTTTTAGTAATAGAATACGTTATACAAAGCACACGTATATACTTTCTTGTTACTCATTTTCGAAGAAAATTAATCAGGCGAAAATGGCTCGGCATATTTATTTTGCGGGGCTTCAATTTGTTCATAAGATACGTTAAAAGGATCTAAGTTTCGCGAAATTTGTCAAAATACTGATCTTCATTACAATGAAGATTTAGTCTCAGAATTGGCACAACTGATTACAATTTTCCTCATAGATAGTTTCGAGTGACACTTGACTGAGGCCCTGTTAAGGTTATAGGATTGTGGATTATCAGAGGGTTTTAGAGAAAGGATATGGATTATTTGCCACAAACATTTAAAAAACAAAACAAAAAAAGATTACGGATTATTTGTGTCATACTTTAAAATTACGGATTATTATCGGTCTTCATCGGATAGATTGCTTTTTTACATAAGAGTTAATAAAAGGTCATAAAAGAGATAATTAAAGTCATAAAAAGAGCAACAAATATTTATCTCCAGTGATCCGTCCAGTGCTCCTAGTCAATTGCCAAGACCGCAATGCCTTGCGGTAGTATTCGCTAGTCGTTAAGGTCTCCTGGAAAATATATTCAACAAATAATAATAAAAAAAAGTTGTGACAAGGCTACACGACTCCCGCAAATGTAGTGTTTTTGCCTTTAGAGTTTGGATCTCACGAATTTGTCTTTGAGCGATTTTCCTGTTTTCTGTGAGATAATGGCAGGCTCTTTATATATCTCGCAACAAGGCAAGTCTGTATAAGTGCCACTTTCTTTAAATTAGGGTGGTATTTTTAGAAGCATAGCGTTCATATGTACACACGTATGTACACGCGTACCAACAGAACTCCAGTAAATATATATATATATATATATATTTATTGGCAAAAAGGGTCTTTAATAATTAAAGCGACCGATACGACAGTGTTTAGTCTCTCCTATTAAGCCTAGTGTCAATTATCCTAAAGGCTGACATAAAAACCACATTAAAGTTACTAAATACTCAACGTTTTTCGATGTTTTGATTTATAAAGCTGTTCTCGGCTGGAAAACATGGAATACATGGCTAGCATTCCCGAGCTCCTCCGGCACTCAATGATTTTTCTGCTTAGTACGTACTCCATGTATAATGAACGCTACACCCCTGGTTGTGTGAAAAAAAAGTGCGTTTTCCCTCATGTTCATGACTACTTTCTCCCTTCGAATTTCACTTCTGAGAGGACTGCATATATTATTTACCTGGATATCACCAGCCCCAAACCCGTGCGTTTTGGCTCGTTCATATCCCCTGCGACCAGTTACAGTACACCAAATGAAGCGTGTACTCTTCAAGATTACATTAATGAATTGATTAATTGAATGTTGGGCCCGTTAATTGTATTCGTTTTCAAAAGGAGCAGATCATTTTTCAAATCAAAACACGATTTCTGATTGGACTATGCGAACAAGGGATGCTCCTTATATGGTTAATACAATACAATTTCCTCTCAAACTGGCGGCAATGAACTAGCAAGGCCTAATTTCCGAACCCGGAAAACCTCTTTCCGACCAATTCAGCGTTGAAATTCTTGATATGTGTAACCGTGGGTTGTCCAAAAAAAGCAGATTTTCGGTGATTTACAGGTGGCTCCGAGTACTGCCAGAAAGGTAATTCGCTATTTTTAAGGATGTTAAAAGAATCACTTCATTAAATTGATGTAATCTTGAGGGGTACCTTGGTCTTACTGTAAAATTTTGCCTGACAAAATAGAGGTTCTGTGAAAAGTCTAAACATGCAGTAAGTAACGGATTCATTTAGCCTGTATTGTTAAAACAAACAAACAAACAAACAAACAAACAAACAAATAAACCGTGGCAACAAAGATTTTGGATTAATTTTGTTTGTACTATCATTCGTTTCAGGAACCCTTCTTGGTGCTTATCGTACGGGAGACATTCTGCCACACGACCACGATGCAGATATATCATTTATTTTAAGAACAGAGAGGTTAAATGCCTATTCGGAATTGAAGAGATCTGGAATTAAAGCAAATGGCTTCATGGCAATCTTTGGGAATGCGACCGCTGATTTCATGAGGTGGATACCAGCAAATAGGTCAACTAGCGGCAAAACAGAAGTGATGCTTCACAGATTCTCTCCAGCCTCTTCAGGGGACAACTTCATTCTTAAATACCATCATACCTTGGAGACATTTCCTCAGTCGTGGGTCGTGCCACCAGCGAGGATCAATTTCCACGGAGTCGATGTCGCAATTCCCAATTCCCCGGAACGTTTATTGGCTTTCAGATACCCTTACACTTACGGACTGTTCTGGTTTCAATTTCCATACNTCGGGACAGTTCGGAATAACGTCGTACGTTCGTTAACCCGTTGCGTTTGATCGGGCAGAGACACAAGTCTCGTAAGGTTTGTACCCGGTTAGTGTACAACAGTAATGTCACGTAAACCCAGTGTAGGGAGGGCAGGCACAGTTGTGCTACCGCTTGGCGCGTCTAACAGCCTTCTTGAACTTTCTCTGGGCTATAGCCGGGTTACTGGGATCTCCTGAAGCACCCGCGGTAAACAGGGAGCCGCCCGAGGGAGTGACAGCACCCCCGGCAAAGTTGAACATTCCTGGACCCGCATTGTTGTTATTAGCCGCCGCTGCACTGAAGTTAAATCCACCGGGGACTGGAGCTGCTATGCACCGAAATAATAAACAGAAGGAACGTCAGCTTCCAATAACAAACAAACATTGCTTATCAGTAATGATGTAGTCTGTCCACAGACGTTTAATTCTTTTGCAACGAGTTATTTTTCTTTGAGCGCGCGAGCGATGCGAGCGCTCCCGGACGGGAGAACGGTCAGCGAGAGAGGCTTATCCCACCCCCTCGCGTTTTGGCTCGTTCATATCCCACGCGCCGGGTTGATATTTCGCTAAGCTTACTATCTCGACAAACTCAAGACAAAATAATGCGTCTGTGGACAGACTACTAACTGATGACTTGCACTGGGCTAAAGGATTTAGACAGCCAGAACAGTTTTTCCGCTCAATTCTGAGTTGTTTTTTTTTAAACAAATTTCTACAACGGCCACTAGAAAAGTGTTAAGAATATTCACAAGCTAAGTATACTGACTGCTTTTGTTTTGTTGTTTTCGAATTTCTGCCTTGTGAGTTGATACTTGATCGCACGTGATAAAAGGGGCGAAAAGAAAACAACCGGCCAGCAAAAATACAAAGCAGGTATTGACAGGTTTGTCACTCGCGCGATACATCTAGTGTAAACCTTAAAAAGTTGATTTATTCAGTCACTCTTAAAAAGAAATATTTCAAGACACTCACCGCCGCCCGTTGGTGCAGTACTTGCTCCAAATGTAGGGGCTCCTCCTACACCAGCTCCAAACGCGAAGGTGCTTGGTCCTGTATTTGCCTGAGCGGCCCCAGCAAAATTGAACCCTGCCGCTGAAGGAGCACTGGGCGCTCCAAAGGCAAAACCCCCTGAGCTGGGTCCTGTGGAACCAAACCCGTTTCCTGTAGGATTAGCTAACAATTCAGGAAACAAAAATGATTAACTCAATTGTGCTATAAAGTAGGAAGGTACAAGGGGTCTTTCAGCCAGTCTAAAACTGGCAATTTTTTGCGTGTGCTTGGGTGAAACGACCCCAGCCGGTTAGCCCCTAACCGTTTGGTCCCCAATCAGAAGTCGATTAGCAGTAGCCCCCATTCACGCTTAAAGAACGAGAAATAGACAGTGGTTTCGGTTAGGGGCTAATCGACTTGGGGGTTTAACGACCAGATACCGTTTTTAGTGGCTTTATAATTAAGAAGTGTTGCTTTATAGAAGAAGTGTCCGAAGACAAAGTAGTAACTTACCTGGCGCAGAAAATGGATTGCCAGAACTGTTATTACCATCGGCCTCCATGGTTTCTTCTGGAGTAGGTGTGGGGTTGGAGGGTGGCGCGCCAAACATAAATGGCTGTAAACAACAACAACCAAGGAACAGATAAATCAGCTCACTTGTAACTCGATCTGCAAGCCACACTGTAACCAATTCTTCTTTCACTAAATCATCACCTATTCCACCATCACAATATCATCAATCCTGTTAATTACGTTTTGGTAAATCGAGCGTGGCGCCGAATTGGATACAG